AATGAATATGCTGTCTTACTTAAAACTATTATAGAATAAAATAGAATAGAATATTATACACACAATTCTGCCCTTGCCTTTTCATATAATGAGCATCTTGGAAGTCTATCCCATGTCATTTCACGAACATGTCATCTTTTCTTTACTTTTCTTTTCCCTTCCTCCCTTCCTTCTTTCTTTATTTCTTTTTTGCAACAGAATTTTGCTGTTACCCAAGCTGGCGTGCAGTGGTGCAATCATAACTCATGGAAGCCTCAAACTCCTGGGCTCAGATGATCCTCCCACCTCAGACTCCTGAATACAGGTGTGCACCATCATACCTAGATAATTATTTTTAATTTCTTGTACAGATATGGGGGGGCCCTCACTGTGTTGCCCAGGCTGGTCTTGAACTCCTGGCTTCAAGCGATCCTCTTTCTCTGGCCTCCCAAAGTGCTGGGATTGCAGGCCTGAGCCACCGTGCTCAGCTTCATCATTCTTTTCTTAAATAACTGTGTGATATTCTATTGCATTTCACTAACATTTATTCATTGCCTACTGTGCACCAATTTCTATGTTGGGTGCCGTGGTCAAAATGATGACTCAAAGGGGCCCTGTCTTCAGGGAGATGACAGCCTCCCTGACAAACAAGCAGAAAAACAATTGTGATAAAGTATTGTGGGCACTATTCATCCCCAAAACAGTGAGTACTTGTCAGGCACTGTTCTGGGCACAGGGAGATGATGATAAGGAAGACCCATGACAATCCTTCTGTCCCAGCGCAGCTGATATTCTGGCAATGTGGTAAGGGAGGGTGGGTATTGTGGGGGGACAGAGTGTGGCCCCTATCTGGTCTGGAGGTCAGGGAAGGCTACCTGGAGGAAAGAGGCTTCAGCCGTTAACGAATAGCTAAGGAGAAATCAGCCAGGAACAGAGCCCGAGAGGGGCCGGTGCTCCTGTCCACAGAGGCTCCCATGTTGGTCGGGGCAGGAGGGGAGATGCAGCCACACTCCAGGGGACAGAGAAGGTCCTTTCTTGGGAGCACTGAGGGAGCCAAGGCCTGACAAGCAGGCAGTGGACCCCATGGGAGCCTCGTGGACTACAAGAGGGTTTTGTCCTTATGGATGTCACTCCATGTGGAGTGAGCGGGAGTAGGGTGCGAGTGTAGACAGGAGGCCATGAGGATGAGTGAGCAGAGCGGGAGGGAGAAGGGTAAGGACCCAAGAGATCTGAGCGATGATGGTGGTACCGACAAGACTTAATGGGCTGTGAGGGGAAGGGAGAGGAAGCCTCACATGAGGCCGGTGTCCTCCCCCTCCGGGCTGTTCTGGGATCTCATGGATACAAGTAAGGTCACAGCAGTATGATTGCCCCTCCTAACCACCCCCAGCGCCCATCCCTCCATCAGCTCCTGTGTTCCAGCTTCCCGGTGTAACCTTCTCTGCTCCCCTCCCCATCACACACACACACCACATACACACATACCACATCACACCACACACCTCTACACCCCCCGCCATACCACATACACACACACCATACACATCATACCACATACTCACCAGACCATGCCACACACACACAAGCACACGTGCCATAATCATGCAACACACACACTCCACCTCCCCACACACAACACATATACCACACCACATATACACACACCACGTACAGCACATTACACACACCACACACCATACAAACAGACCACACACAAAAACGCATGCCACACATATAAGCACACACACCATACGCAGGTCCCACCCACACTCCCTCCCCTGCCCCCCACACGTACCACACCACACACACAAGCACACACACATCACATATACACACATACGCACATACCACAGACATACACACACCCCACAACATATTCACAATTCTGGTACAGGCCGTTGCCGGCTACTTGAGCTAAACTTCCAGGAACCTCCAGGTGTGCATGCAGCCCATGGTCACAGCGAGGCCTGCCGGGCACATCTCAGTCGGTTTGGGTGTCACTGCCACCGTGGCTGTTCTGCAACCGAGCTGTGGTCCCAGGACCGTGGGTTCCCCTCTCACGCCTGACTCTGCGTGGAGCGGCTCAAGGTGTTGCCCATGGCCGGTGGACAGGGACCTATGCTGGGGGGGAGCAAATAGCAGAAAGGATTGACATTTCCCAAAATCCCCTTGAGTGGTTTGGCACCCAGCCCGGCCCAGCACAGGTTTGTTCGGTGATAAGATTTGGTCTTGTTTTTTTCCCAAGCTCCAAGGACACGTGCCACCCAGAGCCCTGGCCTGATTCCCTCCATTACTAAGCAGAAGCCTGGGCCAGGTGGTCTTATTCATCTGGGTCCTCTTCTCTGAAAAGTGGTGTTGAAGGGCCCTGGAAGTGCTCCTTCACCTCCTCACTCTGGTGAGGAGTGCTTGGTGGGACCTGCTTGACCCAGCCAGGAGTCACAGCTCCTAGATGATGCCTCTCTCCTCCAGGCCCTGCATCTGCTGGTGTGGGTACCGAGGGCTAGTCTCAACTCAGCCCAGGAGGGGAGTGGATGGGAGTGGTCCACCAGGAGGGCCTCTTTGTGGCTGTAATTGTCAGCTTGGTTCCCTCTGCCCTGGGGAGGGGTTGGCGTGTCACCTTCTTGCAAACACAGAATCTTTCTCTGCAAGCTGCCATGTGTCTGAGGCCCGGGTGAGCTTGGCCAGGGCCGAGCCTGGCCTGCCCCACAAATCTTCTATCATTCGGACGGCTCGGGACCCACTTCACAATTTACCCTCAGTGGGGCCCATCCTTTATTTAAAGCTCTGTTGTTGTGTGAGTCTTAATCACTTTAAAACAAGGCACACAGCATTTCTATTTTACACTGGGCCCTGCAAAATATGTACCAGTTCCTGTTTACTTTTAGCTGTCTGCTCTCTCATATCTTTTGTATTTTGAAACTACGTAGATGTGTTTTTCTAAACTATAAACATGAAATACCACAAAGGATAAAAACAAAGGACACATTTATTATCTGTTGTGCACATTTAGAAATAGTCCATATGTCCTTGGCAGTGTACAAGGTGCTGTAGACACAAACACACATGACACAGGCAAGACACAGTCTGACTGGCTCCAAGACAGCCCTGTGATGTGCAAAACGCCACCCCCATGAGGGCATGGCATTTGCCTCTGGAAGCCCTGAAGGACACAGACAGAGACATGCTCCAGGCCCACCCTCTCCCATGCTGCTGGCTCCAGGCTGCTGCCCAGAACAAGCCAGTTCATACCCCAGAGCTAGATTAGGAGAGAAAAGGTTTCCATACTCCCTGGCTGGTGCCCCCCCCGACCACCTCTAGGCACGTCTTCAGAGTCAGATGACGCCTGTCACAATATCCCCAGCTCTGCTGGAAACTCAGGACAGGATACTTCTGGGGCTGACAGGGGGCTTCTATGGTGGACGTGGACTTGGCCATTGAAAACCATGTGTGGACGTGTTGTCTATCCCTTCCAGGACGGGCCCTATCTGTCTGGAGTCAAAAAAAAAAAGTAGATCATGGCCACAGACTCTGCGGGAATTTGCCACATTCTAGTATTTGTAGATTTCTTGCCTGAATCACATATGTTGCAGCTTTTCCTCATTTCTTACTAGGCTTCAGAAATTCGGATGATCTGCCCCACAAATCTCGAAGAGTTGGACATGCCCCTAACCTGTGAACAAGCTTTGAGCATCTGAAGGACAGAAATGCCAGTTCTCTTGCTCAGCCTGCATGAGAAGGAGCACTGCTGCCCTCTGGTGGCCAGGCAGCAGAACCTCAAGGAGCCATCCAGAGAGCTGGGTCACCTTTACCTTGTTTCTGGGACAGCATCTTTGAGTCCTCAGGTCAATGAATGTCCTTTCCCTGTTCCTGGAGCATGTCCTCCTGTCTCAGGGCCTTGGCTCTTGCTGCTCCCTCTCCTTGGAATGTTCTTCTTCTAGTTCTCAGGCGGCAACTGCCTTATTCTCTAGCCCTCAGGCCAAATGTCACTTCCAAAGGGAAGCCCTCCTGGACCACTTGGTCTAAAATAGCACCTCAACCGGCCTGTCTCTGTATCCCCCTGTTTCACATTGTTCGTAGTGCTTACCTGCTATTTGAAAATCTCTATTTAAATTTTGTGTCTATGTCCTCTCTCCCTCACCAGAGGTAGACTCTGGGAGAACAGGGGCCTTGTCTGTTTTGTCACTGGACCTCAGTGCATTGTACATAGTAGATACTAAAAAATGCTTGTTAAAGGAGTAGATCCACACATATCAACAACAGCAACTGAGACATAAACTCAGCATCTGGTCCTCAAAGTCACACTCTGATATGGGGAGGGCACACATTGCCCCAATTTGACAGACGGACAAACCGACTCAAAGACTTGAGAGTTTCCTGAGCACCCAGCATGGAAGGTGGAACCAGAATCCCTGGTGGCTTTCCCTATGTTCCCTCAGTCCTCCACCTTGGAGGGAGCAGAGGGGTGTCCTAGACCTGACGAGCATCTGTCAGGAGTCGAGGCAGGTCCTGCCCGTGGGGTGTAGACCTTCACTCTTCGACCTGGTCACCAAGACAGGCTGAGCTGCATTGCTGTCTGTCCACAGCTGTACTTGTGACTGAGGGGTGTGCAGTGGAATGGGGTGAGGAGAGTCAGTCCACAGGAGAACACACCCCGGCGCTAGAGACAGAGATGTGTCTCTGGACAGAGATATGCGTCCTGGAGCAGGAGTGTGTTTGGGAAGGGAGGGTGGCCGGAAAGCTGGGGTCATCGAGGGAATCATAACTTCTCCAGGGCCGAGATCTGGCTGTGACATTCTGGGCTTCTTCCAGACCCCTGAGGGTCCGCTCAGCCTGAGGCAGGGGCTGCCCTCTGATTCTGGGCCCAGCGATGGGGTCACAGGCTCTGGCTGCAGAGCCTAGACCCTCCAGGCTGAACTTGGGCAGGTCATGGGGTGGGCAGGGGTCATCATCCATCTTCAAGCCTTGGATGGCCAGGCCCAGGGCAGGCCGTGTCTCTGGGCTTCTGGAGCAGGAGTCTGAGGTCAGCAGCATCTACTTCTTGACGGGTCTGGCGACAGCTTGATGGACTCTGTGAGGTGGTTCTCTAAGATGCTTTGATACTGGGGAAGGAAAAGAGAAGTCAGTGCTCACGTCCTGAGATTTGAGAGCACTGCCTGCCCTCTGTCTCTTAATGGCCCTTGGAGGTTGGGCTTTTGGTTTTCTCCCTGTTGTACTGTTGGGAAACTGAGGCCTAGAGAAGGAAGCCACTGGTGTGCCCTCCTCCTTCCCTGCCTCTCTCGTCCAGACTCTTTCTAGGAGTCCAGAGCAGTTCAGTGGCTGGACTAGGGGCCCGGGTCTCCTGGCCTCCAACCAGGTCTTTCCATTCTTCAGAGGGGACGGCTGAGGTGATGTTTGGCTCAGGAGGAGATGGGGACAGCCACTACTGATTTCTGCTAGAGACCTCTCCCGATTCCCCCAAGCCCTCTTTACCCTGTCCACCTCCCAATCTCCCCAAGGTGGCACCTGGAAAAGCTCAGTCAGTCCTCTGTTCTTCCCATGTCCAAGGAACTCCCTAAAATAGACTCAGTATTTCTACTGGGCCTTTTTGCTTCTCTGCCTGCTCTCCAAACTCTCCTGTCCTAACTAGGGTCCAGAGACTTATGCCTGTTATCCCCGCACTTTGGAAGGTCGAGGTTGGAGGATTGCTTGAACCCAGGAGTTTGAGACCAGCCCAGCAACCTAGGGAGACCTCATCGCTACAAAAAAGCAATAAAAAAATTATCTTGGTATGATGGTGCATGCCTGTAGTTCCAGCTACTTGGAAGGCTGAGGTCGAAGAATTGCCTGAGCCCAGGAGGTTGAGGCTGCCATGAGCTGTGTTCGTGTCGCTGCGCTCCACCCTGGGGGACAGAGTGACACTACAACTCTAAAACTAAACTCTAAAACAAAACTAAACAACAACAACAAAAAAAACAGGGTCTAGAGGAAGCCCCTTCTCAGTCTGGCAAGCCTCTGCCTGTCCAACTGGTTCTAGTTCTCACCAAAAATCCACACCCTTCGGTTTAGTTTGGGGGTGAGGTTGGGGTGGAGTGGACGAGGGGCCCTTCTTCAAGGCTGAAGAGTTTCTTCTTACAAGGATCCCACCTCCATAGTTTGCCATGGCTCCCACTAGCCACAGAACTCAGCAGTATCCATGTTTCGCCCAGCTGGTATCGTGTGAGTGACAGCGTGTGAGCGTGTGGGAGTGGCCCGTGCTGCATTGGGGTGGCCCATCTCAGTTGCCCTTCTCAGGGAGCCACTTCCAGGGACAGGGGTCCTGGCGTCTCTCTGATTTCACCTCCCCTGCAGATCCTTGGCCCAGGTCGGGCTCCTAGTTGGTGAACGTCAACCAAACCCTTAATGCCCATGACCCTTGGCCTCAGGAGGTGGTGCCCAGCCCTGCCTGCTGCACCCTGATGCTGATGGTTCCCCAAAATACATGAGGGTCCCCTGATGTCCCATCACTCACTGCCATTTCCAGACTGAGCAGTCGTTACCCTGATGGCACAGAACTCACGGCGCTGAGCCTGGGGTCTAGCCTTTCTTCCCTGAGTTGGTTTCTTGGAGAACCTCCATTTCTCACCCCCTCCTTGGCAGGGACTTGGGGCCAGCAGAGCACCAGCTGCCCTAGATGATGGGCCTTGACACCCCTCCACATATTCTTTTGAGTTATTAAAATATATTTATATGTGTATATATTGAATAGGAAGAACCTGTGCTGAGAGCTGGGGGCAGTCTGTGTTTTGCAAATGAAGGAAGCTCTGGGGATGCCCCCACACCCCAGTATCCCCTCCTCTCCCCCTGGGAAGGGTCCTAGCTTACTGCATATAGACCTGTCCCCAGGGCTCTCCCTGTCACCTTGAGAGAACAGAGAGCCCCTCCAGAGGTCCCTGAGGAGAGGACATGGGCCCGAGTGGCGTCTTGTCCCAGCACGGCCCAGCCTGGCATGCGGGCTCAGGCCCACACGGCCCTGGACACCATCCAGCTCTTCACTTGGCCCCTTCTGCTGTGGGTAGGGTTCCCTTCCTCCACAGAGCTAATTTTAGTTTAAATGGGGGCATTTCTGAGCCTCTCAGTGAGGGACATGGAGGAGCAGAGCATCGCCATGTAAGTCCCTTTCTACACTGACGGATCCATCTCTCCCAACGAGACAGGCTTTTGAAAGGACTCCCTCATTATCGGGTACTTTCTGGGTCTCCTCTGCCATCATGAAAGCCAAGGAGACCTTGACTGGGATCAAGGCTTTCCTAACTGGACCTTTTGGGCCAGGAGGTAGGGCCTGCTGATTTACCACCCCTGAGTGAGCCCTGATCTCACATACATGTAAGTCCCCGCTGGGGCCCCAGAAAGCTAAGCCCCTCACAAGTAGAAACCTGTGGCTTTGTCCACAGAGGCCAGCCTTTGGGGAGGGAGATCCAAATGCCCGGAGCAGCAGCACGGTTTCTGAGCCCCGTTGCACTTTGAGAATACACCGAGTGCAGTCTCCGGCAAGTGTGAGAAACTTCCTTGTTTGCCGCACTGGCAAAGCCCGGGGTTTTCACTCCAGTGTTGTCCTAGCAACATTCACACCCTCCCCCGGTCCACGTTAACCCTGAGCTCCTGCCATTCGTGATGTCATTTTCACCCGTAGATGGCATTCTTTCACAACTCAGACTTCCAGCGAAACTCCAGGCCATGACTAGGCCTCCTGTGTGTTTCTCTTCTCCGGGTCCGGTCTTCTGGGTGCGTGACCATCTGACTGCAAAGTCATGCAGCACCGTTCCGGTGCACGCTTCATTTCAGTGGGGATGTGATTGTGGGAGTCTGCCCTGTGCCCCCAGCCTGGTCACCTCAGTGGCCCTGCTTTAAGTCCTGCATCCTGAGGACCTCATAGAGGCGCTGTCACTTCACTGAGCCAGCTGACTTCCCTCTTAAGGTGGCGATTTTGTCTTTCGCCAATGAACCCCAAAGGGACTGGGCTCCATGGAACATCTCAACATCTTACACCTCTGGAGCTGGGCTGTCAAGCCCCAGCAAGGAGGGTATTGCTAACTTTTTCTTTTCTTTTTTTTTATTGACTTGGGGGGTCTCACTCTGTGGCCCAGGCTGGAGTGCAGTGGCACGATCATGGCTCACTGCAGCCTCGACTTCCTGGGCTCAGGTGATCCTTCTGCCTCACCCTCCAGAGTAGCAGGACAACAGGTATGCACCACCACACCCAGTTAATTTTAAAAATTTTATTCTTATTTATTTATTTTTGTAGAGAGGAGGTCTCACTATCTTGGCCAGGCTGCTCTTGAACTCCTGGGCTCAAGCATTCCTCCCACCTTGGACTCCCAAAATATTGGGATTACAGGTATGAGCCAGCATACCTGGCATTGTATTGCTAACTTTCTAAGCTCAAAATCCCACCAACCCAAATTCCCCTAAAGCAGGTAGGTATCTCTTCTTTAATTATTAGGATATTCTTAGTCATATTTCAGAATAACTAAATACCCAAATTCTTGAATGTGGCCCAACTGGTACACTAAAGGAAACTACCTACCTTCTTACCTTTTAGAATGTTAACTGAGCACCTACATTGGTCTCTCCACAGGTGACCCATAAACTGCTATTTCTAGTCCAGAGCTCACTGCAGAACTCAGACGCTTGTATCTGGTGTCTCAAGGAAACTCGCATGTGATGTGCCCACACTGACCTCATTACCCCTTGCTTTCACGAGTCCCCTGCTTCTCCTCCGTTCCCTGTCTTGGTTCATGGCATCATTAATCTATTGTCCTTCATTTACCGAGCCAGAATACTGGTCATCAACGGAAACCACTCCTGTTTCTTTCTCTCTTACATTGACCCTCATCGAGTGCTATGGTCTACCTCCCAAATTTCTTTAATCTATCCCCTCTCTTGCCAGCTCCGTCCTCTCATGCCTGGACTATTGCAGTAGCCTCTGACTCACCCATGGGGCCCACCCTTTCTGCGGCATGAAGCTCCCTCACTGAAAACCCTTAAACATAGTTCCCATTTTCAAACAGCTGCCTTTTATTTCATGCCTTCTCTGTGTTATAATATCATTTTATTTAGCCCACACGACAGCCCCATGAAGAAATTATTAGTCATACTTTAAAGGTAGGAAGTGGTGGCTTAGGAAGCTGCATGGCTGCTTGGGGACAGAGCCAGGAATTAAAGTCTGATCTTTCCAACTTCAGAGCCCCATCTCTCCCACCCCAGTGGGGGCTCTCTCCTTATGCTAGCACCCTTCCTTCCCAGATCTTCCTCTTGAAACACCTTGGGTTGGAGTGAATGGGCACACAGCCTCCCTGGGAAGGTCCTTACAGGAAATGTCTTTGAGAACTTTTCTTTGACCTCAAAAGATATATTTGCAAACTTCTATTTCACTTCAAAAACCCATGGGAATTTTACCTTCTAGGCCCTAGTATGCTTGTTTTCATGTGGAAATATTTCTCCTCCAAATATCTGAGTAATGATGACATTGCAGAAAGATGTGTCTTGTTGGGCTTCAAGGTGCTGGGTGACCCCCGGGTGCCTTGGTGGTCTGAAGCACCATCTGGAAAGTACAGGCCGATAGCGTGAAGTCTGAGCTCCTGGCTGGGGCTCACGAGGCCTGACCACTCACTGTCCCTGTGCTCTCACGTTCTCCATGCCATGTTTCTCTCTCACCAGCAAGACCTGCTGCAGTAGAGTCTCCTCTGAGCCTGTGGACTCATGCCTGGGCTTCCTGTTTTTCCTTTTGACCCTTCTTCCCCTCCTGCGCGTCTTCCCACTGGCCTCCTAGCTCCACCTGCAAACTGTAACCTGCCTTCCAAACCCCCTCACAGGTCCCCTCCTGGGGAGGCATCCCCACCCACCCACGCTGCCCCTGAGTCACCTTGCTGTAATCCCACGCCCCCTCCATGGCACCTACCTCACTCCTTGATGGTCTCTTTGAGAATGTCTTACTCAACTGACCTTGAGCCACTGAGAGTTGTATCTCCAGCCCTAGCCCTACAACTCAAGAGATACTTGTGGAACAGAATTATTTTCATTTTATAAATGAGGAATCTGAGGCTCAGAAAGTCATCTGTCTTGCTAGGCGGTTCCTTCGAATGAACTAGGGCAAGATGCAAATCCAGGTCAGTCTGACTGCAGGTACTGCACTTGTGACTTCCAGACTTCTGATCAGTACATTTGCCCCATAAACATGGGGGGCTGACATGGGATGGTCAATCTATTCTTTTGTCCAAAAAAAGCTGCTATCTACTGACAGCATCATGTCATAAAAGTGATGCAGTTAAAAGGACACAATTTAACCCCAACACAGTAGGAAGGTCATCATTTCAAGAATAAAGGACATTTCCCTTAGTATACCTAATCCTGAATTGTACCCCACATCTTTAAAAAAATTTTAAAAAAAGAATAAAGGACATTTCCTCCCCAGAAAGGACACATGTTAACCATGCACAGATACTGGCTGTGACAGACGGAAGCTTCCCTGTGACTAAGCATTTGGTAATCACTGCACTCTGTTTGTGGAGGCTTATTTATTTATTTATTTATTTATCTGAGTCAGAGTCTCACTCTGTCACCCAGGCTAGAGTACAGTGGTACAATCACGGTTCACTGCAGCCTCAACTTCCTGGCTTCAGGCGATCCTTCCACCTCAGCCTCCTGTGTAGCTGGGACTACAGGCTCACGCTACCATGCCTGGCTAATTTTTTTTTTTTTTCTGTAGAGACAGGGTCTTGCTGTGTTGCTCAGACTGGTCTTGAACACCTAGGCTCAAGCAAGCCTCCCGCCTCAGTCTCCTAAAGTTCTGGGATTACAGACATGAACCACCGCACCTGGCTTGGGGAGGCTTATTGATCACACAGCAACATAAGAGGTCAAACAGCATTCCTTGGCATCCCAGGGGAATGCATCAGCAGGCAGGTCTGTACCTCAGAAGCCATCTCTGCTGACCAGACAATAAAGCCACACTTATCAGCCGAGTGCTAAGGGATGGATGCCTCTCTGCTTCCCTTTAACACTAGTAAGTGAGGGCTGCAGGCTGGGAGGGGAGTATGAGAGGTGTCCACAGGGGTCGGGGCACCCTCAGATGAAGGCTCTAAGGTGTGAGGGCAGTTGCCTGGAATCTTCTCCCTGGGCAGCCCCCGAAGGTAGTTGCTGCCTCTCGCTGTGCTGGCCAGTTCCCAGCTGGGGCCCTGGAGAGGGCTTCTCTCCAGGGCAGCTGGCAGTGCAGGGCCAGGGAGGCCGGTCATCCACACGGACGTCAGATGTCTCCACATAGCAGACGCCTCCCACCCTCCACCCTCATTTGCTCATTCCCTCAATTCAAAACCACTACTATAATTATCCTCTCCTTTCTTCTAAGAAACCCACCTTGATTAAACGTGGCAGAATGATGAAACAAGCTGAGCCCCTCCCTGTGCCAATCATGGGGCTTCCAAACTCCACAGCAGACTGACATTAAAACCCTGCCACTGCTTCCAGGCAGTCTTCCATGATCTTCCCCTCCCCTTTCTTCTCCCCTGCAGCATGAGCTGTCTACGTGCCCCTCCTCTGGGCCCCATCGCCAAGTCCTGCCCCACTGTACAAGAGCGTATGGTGATCACTCAGGTGCTTATCTGCCTTCCTGATGAGACAGAGGGTCCCTGACCCCTACAAGTGCCCACCGCACACTCCACATCTGCTTTTTGGACCTTCAGACCAAGGGATCTGGTCTGTTCATCTTTTTGGTTGGAGGATGTCAGCAAATCCTGCAGGCTTGATATCTCATTTGGATAAATGCTTGGCGCTTCCCACCAATGAGAATTAGACTTGATTATCTCTCCAGCCTTTGCTCTATGAGAATCTCCGGGGGAGATACAGGACTGGAGCTTCTGGACAGTCCTCAAAGGACGTGGATAGTCGGGCAGACTGAGGGGCCTGACCACTTGCTCTAATGTAGCTTTACACCTTGAAACCGGAGTGCTATGGTGCCCATTCCACACCTCAAGAACTGAGGCCATGAGCAATCCTGTGCCGCCCACATCCCCGCTTGTATCCAAGATGTTCTTTCCCGGGAGCTCCTGAGAATTTCCATCCAGGGAAACAGTCTTGGAAGGTGCTGCCACCTCAGCTACTCACCCTCATCAGAGCCCGACTGGCCAGCATCTCGAAGGCTTGCACCACATTAATGTCATTTTTGGCACTGACTTCAAAGTAAGGGATATCTTTCTCTTGACACCAGCCTTGGGCCATCTCCTGGGGCACCTGAATGATGGGGAGAAATGATCACTGTTCCCGTGTCATCATTGTCACCACCATCACCGCCATTGTCACCCCAGTGACATCCCAACATTACTATCATTGCATCCCTGCCACCACCACCCCCACTCCTGTTTATTGAGAACCTTCCACGTGCTAGCTCCTAAATCCTCATCGTACACCCATGTAGTGGGTATTGTTAGCTCCATTTCACAGATGATAAAACTGAGGCATGGAGAAAAATATTGACTCAGAGTGTAACCGGGCTGAGCAGGATTTGAACACAAGCTTGGTGGAATTAGAGCCCACTACACGACGCTGCCCTCCTAGGGCCTAAACTGGGAGCTTGTTCCTGTCTTTGGCTCCTTAGACAGTCCCTTCAAAGGGAGCTGGACATAACAGACCCTAGCCAAGAAGGGCAGGAAGCGAGGTGTCCTTCCCCTGAGCTGGCTGAGTAGGCCCACACTCAGGAGGCCTGTTGCTCAGCAGAGACTTGGGTCCCTGTTGACCCTTCTTCCCCAGGGTGGGATCCTAGGAACAGTTAATAAGCTCCTACTAAGGCCAGGCAAAGTATTGAACACTTTAGCATATATTAGTCAATCCTCTCCCTAACCCTGTGAGATGGGTATTTTTAGCTCCACTTTATAGACAAGAACACAGAGGCTCAGAGAGGTTCAGCGACTTGACCCAGTTCATACAGCTGAGAGAAGGCAGAGCTTGGAGGCTGCCCCGGCTCAGTGCTCATCTGAGCTGCCCTCTGCAGGGCACTGCGTAAGAACCCTACTTCTCCTTTGCTGTGTCTCCTTTGCTGCGTGTACGTTCCTGGGGCTGAGGGCCAGGACCTTTTTGGGTCTTGGCCTGTCACACACGAGCCGAGCCGCTCAGCACAGGCTGAGTGAATACATCTTTACCCAAATACAATCGGCTCTTCACAGTTTGGGGGATGTTGGGTACCTTCCAGAGACAATTTTTATCGGGATAAAAAATACCAGCTGATCTCGGCTGAACCCTCCCTCTCACCACGACTGGGTCTGCCTGGGTGCCTGGCCATGACAGACTTTTTAGTCTCATTTTTTCCTGTTCTTTCTCTGTTTGGTTCAGAATGATTGCATATAAACTCCAAAATATCAGTTGAGATTATGTTGCAAATTAACATTCTTTTTATATCTTCCCCTCCCCCACCCGCCTACCCCCAACCTCCAAAAGCCAGCCTGGGAAGAAAGCCATCCAGACAGTATTTTTCACATATCTCTTTCAATTCCGGCTACAGTTTCATGATTTTAAAAATTGTCTCATCTTTTATTTATAAAAGGAGTTATTTATAACATAGGCTCTGACTCTAAGATAAGCTCAGGGTGTGGTACTTGGGGACATGGGAAGTATGAAAATTCTGAGTGTTATTTGCATTAATTTCCCTTTTGGTTGACAATATACTGTTCACATTTTAGTTTTCCTATTACAGCTTTGCTTGCTCATTGGAGGCCAAATGTTTGCCAAATTAGTCCACTTGGCACCCTTTATTCATGATGCTTCTCCATCCCATATGCATTTAAAGGGATTGATTATACAAGTGCAAAAACTGGCATGCCAAATATGAATGACTAGACCACTAAACCACCACAAAAATAATAAAGATATATTTTAAAGCACGATCCTAATTCTATGAATCAATGGTAAGTCAGAAATTACCTACCTGAACATAGAGCAAAGAACTCATGTCCCAGTGAATAAATCCCTTGTAGCATAGAGCTGTTCTTTCCAATAAACTCAAAATTTTTTACTATTATCTTCTGGGAGGGAGTGAGGACTTTTTTAAAAAGGCAAGTTAGTAATTTCTTTTCTTTTCCTTTTTTTTTTCTCTTTGTAACAGAGTCTCACTCTGTCACCCAGGCTGGAGTGCAGTGGCGTGATCATGACTCACTGGCCTCAAACTCATGGACTCAAATGATCCTCCCACCTCAGCCTACCTAAGTGTTAGGGTTACAGGCATGAGCCACCACCAAAATTTACCATTTTAACCATTTTTAAGCATACAGTTAAGGGGAATTAGGTATGTTCATATTTTATTCATATTATACACTCACCATTATTCATCCTCAAAACTTTCTTGTTTTCCCAAATTAGCAATACATTTACTTTTATTTTTATTTGATATTTTTTTTATTTTGAGTTGGAGTCTCACTCAGTCGCCCAGACTGGAGAGCAGTGTCCGCTCCCGGCCACCGTAGCCTCGACCTGCTGGGCTCTGGTGATCCTTCTGCCTCAGCCTTCCAAGTAGCTGAATTACAGGCACGTGCTACCATGCCCGGCTAATTTTTTTAATTTATTGTAGAGATAAGGTCTCGCCAAGTTGCCCAGGTGGGTCTCAAACCCATGGGCTCAGGCAATTCACTCACCTCGGCCTCCCAAAGCGTGGGATTACAGGCTGAGCCACTGAGTCCGGCTGATTTTTTTTTTAAGATGAGGTCTTGCTGTTTCCCAGGATGGCCTCAAATTTCTGGGCTCAAGCAATCCTCTCAGCTTGGCTTCCCAAAGTGCTAAGGATTACAGGTGAGAGCCACCACACCTGGCCCGTAATGTATTTTTAGATATCTATTTTCTTTGTATTTTCCCAGTCTGCCCTTGGAGATCACAAGAAGGAGAATATATAATCACATCATTCTTTTTCCTGCCCAGTCTCAGGAAGGCCACGTCCTGGCCTCCATTCCGCAGATAGAGGACCTGGGCTGGCAATGCAGGTGGATCTGGGCCTGATGCTTTCAGCCACCCACAGCACCTCCCCTCAACACTGCACAAGCAAGGACACATCTCGAGAATGTGACCCTCCGTCACTTCTTCCATATCTTCACACCTTGCCAGGCCTGGCAGAGCCCTTGCTGGGTCTCTCCAGAGTAAGGAGAGCTGAGGGCAGGGCTTGCCGGCTTCCCTTCTTGGCTTTCTCATCCAGAATCTTGGAATCAAGCCCCTCTGGCTCTCTCCCACCCACCTCCTCCTCTCCACTCATTTCATTTCATTATTATCCGGTACTTCCTCACCTCTACCCCCTGCTCCCTCTCCCTCCAAGCCCTTTTCCTGGGCCTCCTTGTTGAAAGACAGACTCCCTCAGCCTCCATTCTCCAGGGTCCTCTCTACCTCCCTGCCGGACTGAGCCCCAGGTTTCCTGGGGTCACCACTCCCCACCTTGCCCTCTCCACTATTTGCATACTCTACTCACCCCAGGCCCCAGAGAGGTGGTTGGCTTGCCTGGTGCGTCACTGCTCCCATCAAGCCTCTATTCTTTCTCTCTCTGAACACCACAGCTCATCCCCTGAGGCTTGGAATGAACCCCCTTACCCCCTGTGAACCCTCACCTGCCCTTCTCGCCCTGCCGGGTTCCCCCTCATTCACTGAACACTTGTACTCTGGTGAGGCTACCTCTCTCCCTTAACGCATCACAGCCACCTCTCACAGCGGCCTCAGAATTCCTGCCCCTCCCTCCATCTCACCACTTCAGCCTGGCCGGACCCAGGACCTGTAACCCAAGGAGCCAACTCTCCCATTCGGCCTTGGCGAGCGATCTCTTTTTCCTCTCAGTGATCTCCTTTCCCTCCACAGTGTCATGCCCTCAACCTTTCTGGCACCTTTCAGCCCTCTCCTTGTCCCTCTTCGTTCCTTAATAGCTTCTCAGTGCCCTCCCAGCTCTGTCCTTCAGCTGCTCTTGGTTGGAAAAGCCTTTGCCGCAGGTCCCTTGCTCCTGGCTTGAACCCCATGCAGAGCTGTTGAAGAAGACTCGCCATGGATGCCCCCTCAGGCTTATGGTCTCTCCTTCAGCTGTTCCCTTGGTGTCACCCATCATGCTTGTTCTTCCCTTGATTAACTCCTCCTCCTGTTTCTCCCAAGAGTAACTGGCAAACTTCACCATGATTCTTAAACTCCCATTCAGCTCCTGTCTCTCAACAGAAGATAGGCCTCTTATTTCACTGAGAAAAAGTTAGACTCTCGGTCTTGAACTCTGTCAACTTCCCTCCCCACACCCTACAGACATAGGAAACAAGATGTTAAAATGGAAGTTTTGCAGAGGTGTGACAATTTGATAAACATCAGGTATAAAGTAAATTGGATACAAAAAATTAGCTGAGTGTGGTGGTGTGCGCCTGTAGTCTCAGCAACTCAGGAGGCTGAGGAAGGAGGTTCACCTGAGCCCAGGAGGTCAAGGTTGTGGTATGGTTGAAAAGTTGGGGGTTGAGGAGGGAGAGGAGGAACATGAAAGAACCTTGTCATGGGAGGTACAGTGAAATATTCCCAGTGGAGACTTCCTAAGAACCAAAGGAGTAACTCATGGAAGGGGCAGCTTGTAACACCTGCCAACTGTCTTATGCTAGGACCAGTCAAACAAAGATGGCTCTGCTCTCCTGACCTTCACACCTGGTAGGGTTTGACACCAGAATTACTATCCCAGACAAGGGAAGAAAGTGTGGACATGAAAGTTGGCAATAAAATCCTAAGGGCATACTCCCCTTAGACCACAGGGTTTACTTACAGCTGGCCCCACGGGAAAGACAGGGTGACACCTTCCTTTGGATGAATTTAGGACTTTGATTATTATTTGAGGCTGGATATTTAAAATTTGAGAGTTGACACTGAGTTTCCAACTTGATGTGACCATATCTAGTGATGACTCTTAGATATCTATCTCCTGCACAGACTTCTCCTTTGAAATTTAATTTTTTTTTTATTGATTTATTTGTTTGGTCTCACTCTGTTGCTCAGGCAGGAGTGCAGTGATACGATCAAGGCTCACTGCAGCCTCGATCTCCTGGGCTCAGGTGATCCTTCCACCTTAGCCTCCTGAGTAGCTGGGACTGCAGGCGCATGACATCATGCCCAGTTAATTTTTCAAAAAAAATTTTTTTGTAAAGACGAGGTCTCACTATGTTGTCCAGTCTGTTTTGATCCTGGGATCAAGCAAGCCTCCCACCTTGGCCTCCCAGAGTGCTGGGATTACAGGCATGAGCCACTGTACCCAGGAGGTACAGAATTTCATTCTTCTATATTCCAAAGCCTTCTGGTCATTTCCAATTAGTTGTTCTACAAGCTCCTCAAACTTGGTGCATCCAAACCAAACACATTTCTTTCTCCATGAACAAGAGGCTCTCCTTTCTGTAGGTGGTCACTCAGTTGGAAGCACCATGTCTTCCTCTTTTCTTTCCTCTCTCCCTCCCTCAATCCATCAACGCATGTCCATCATCGTGCCAAAGGATGCCTCAGTTCTATCACTTTTCTCTATTTGAACATTGTGGAAACAGTTTAAACATGATGATTCAGTTCCCTGTTACATTTCCCTATTTGAAACACTAAGAAAACTTTGTATCAACAACTCTTTTTAGTGTCATTTGGCCTTTTTTGGCCTGAGAGCATCTTCTACAAATCAAGTCCACCTATATTCTTTTCTCACTAGCAGGCGAGGATGAAAAGAGCTCTCTCCTTAGTGGTTCTGGAATGGTCAGTACCTACAAAGTGGGGTCACTGTGGTTGGGGAGCAGACCAGCTGTCAAGTGGTTAACCCTATGGTCCAGAATATGCTTAGGGTAATTAAACAATGATGACTTTCCCAGAAGATGTGTAGATCCAAGAATTTGTGATTGCAGACCTTCCACCTGACCCCAGGTCAAAATACTGTAAATTCTGCTGAGACTGACTCCTGACAACCTCTGATGCCTTCACTCCTCTGCTCCCTGCCTCTAGACAAAATTGCCTTTGGTTCTCAGCTCACATCAGGCTGTTTCTACAGCCTGGAACCCACCCCTTCTAGGAAACCTGTTCTATTTCTGGGCTTGGGTAGGTGCCCCTTTATTGTCTCCAAATATCCAAGATATATCTCAATCGCTGCGTTAACCATATTGTATCATAATTGTCCTTTCAAGTGTCTGCATCCACTAGTACACATGACATTCCTGAAGTAAGGACTGTGCCTGATTCATTTATGTATGCGTGGGACCTAACACATTGCCTGACACATAGTTGGTGCTCACAAATTGTTTGCTGAATGAATGAATGAACGAATGAATGGTACCTTCCGGTCTGCCAGATCGATTTTGTTCCCCAGCAACACCATGGGGTAGGACTGCTCCATGGGGACAATCTTGGCCAGAACGTCGCCCCTCCAGATATCCAGGGCTTCAAAGGACTCTGGGTCGGTGACATCAAAAGCCAGGATACAGCCATCGGAGCCTTTGTAGAATGTGGACACCATGGAGCGGAACCTCTCCTGACCGCCTGTGTCCCAGATCTGGAGAGGAAGAGCGGCCGCCACGTGTGGCTGGAATGAGTGACTGAAGGTGGGCCCAGCTGGGTTATATTAAGTCAGTGCTTCCCTGTGTAGGGAACAGAGAGCTCTGGTACAGGTGCATGTGGTCCTTTCACACTCTGCACGCTGGTCCTCCTACCCACATACACACCAACACCTTTGCAGTAACATTTAGCATCCCGAGAACACTTTCACATCTGAGCTCTTGTTTTTCCTTTGAATCATCAGGGTGGGAATTGCTATTTGATAGATTTGGAAACTGGAATCTTGGGAGTGACCTGCCCAAAGCCACCCACCAAGTTTTCCAGGGAACCCGAGACTAGGCATGGGGTCTCTCAACTCCCGGATTAGTGCTCTTCCTTCTAGACCAGGTACCAGCAAATTTGATCTATAAAAACCCAGGGGGTAAATATTTTAGCTTTGCAGGCCATACCGTCTCTGTTGCAACCATTTGACTCTGCCATTGTAGTGCAAAAGACAATAAGCAATAAGTGGGTATGGTTGTGCCCCAATGAAACCTTACCCCAATGAAAAACAGGCAGTAGACCGGATTTGGCCCATGAACAGAAATCTCCCTCTCTCTGCTGTAGACGATTCTAGCTCCTGGTGCATACTGCTTGGTGAGTGACTACCCAGGGAGTGTGGGGTGATTTCAGGTGTGTGTACGTTGAAGAAGGAAAGGGAGGGCTGTTCACCTGAAGCTTCAAAGTTGTGTCATCCACTATGATAATCTTGGAGAGGATGCTGGCCCCCAGTGTGGTCTGGTATTCCTCGTAAAATGTCTTGTGCACATATTGATGAAGGAGGGAGGTCTTTCCCACACTGAGGAAGAAAAAAAATCTCAAACACATGTGAACACATACATGCATCCATACCATTTGCAGAATCTTACCTTGCCCCTCTCACCACTCTCTCTCCTTGAGATTCTGAATGTCTGCTGTCTGTGGTCTGTGAACTACACTTTGAGTAGCAAGGGATAGAGAATGGTTTCTAGAAGTAGAAACCCATCAAAATGAGTAGAGGGTTTGAGTGGAATATCTCACAGCGATGGCCAGGTTTTTCCTGTATGTGGTAGGAGTTGGGAAGGCAGATAGATAATAAATGACCCGCCCAATTCACATAGCTGGTTTTTGCAGAGCTACTGCGGACCAGGGCAATAAACCATCTCTTTACTCCCGGCCTCTTTCTCCCAACTAAGCACCCTTCCTTGCAATGAGATACTCTTCCGGGAGCCATTCTGAATCAGTAAGGGACCCATTGAGAGGAGGGAACACACCCAGAAGGTCTCACTGTCTTTAGTTAAGAGGCTGCTTCCCAACTCCCAGAACTAAGCTGGGCTTACCCAATGGCTCCGACGATGATGAGTTTCAGGTCCACCTTCTTCCGGGGATTCATGGAGGGGCTTCAGAGCCTGTAGAGAAACAGGTCATCTACATGTTGGCCAGTGTTCTCAGTGGCCATTGTCACTGAGCCTGGCCTGTGCTTTTCCCTTCTCAGTGGGCAGATCACTGCCCTGCATCTAGGACTGGTTGGGGTTGTTCTCTGAAAGAGGCACATGATTCAGCAATGCCTTTTTCCCTCACTTCCCATGGGGACCTCCCCATGGCTGGAAGGATGGTGAACCCACAGGACAGGCAAATCTCCCACCCTTCAGCTCTACCAACCCTGCTCTTGGAGGCAACCTGGCATGCCCAGAAGGCAGGACAGGATTGAACAGAACCTCACAGACAGCCAAGCCTGAAGCCAGGGATGGAGGGCAGTGTGGGAAGAAGCGATGGGGGGTGGGCAGGACAAGGGGTCCATTGTCCACACTGTCCAGAGGCTTTGGATGTAAGAGTGGCCCTCCCCCAGCCCGAGGTGTTGCTGCAATTGCAGAATCAAAAGGCTCTTCTCTAATGCAGCTGGTGGGGGTGTAATTGGTACATGTTTCTGGAAAGCTGTTGGCAGCAAGTGTTGAGAGCCTTAAAAATGTTCTTGCCCTCTGCTTCTAGGAATTTGTCCTAAAGAAACAATCCAAAATACAGGCAAAGACTCTCGCTCAAGAACGTTCTTCACAGTATTGTTTATAAGTATCCAACATAAAAGAGTGGTTAAATTATGGCACACGATGAACTAACTATTAAGCAACCATTAAAATGGGGTTTTGAGCATAATGTGGGGAAAATGCTCGTTCCAAGGCTCTAAATGAGAACCAGAATATCTAAACTGGACACTCAATACAACCTCAAATATTTCAGTAAGTTCACACTTGTATAGAAAAAGGCCTAGAAAGAAACATATTAAAAATTTAAATTTAAAATCCCACCACTGGGTATATATCTGAAAGAAGTGAAATCAGTATGTTGAAGAGAAGTCTGCATGCCTATGTTCACTGCAGTGTTATTCACAGCAGCTGAGATATGGAATCTACCAGAGTGATCATCAGTGGTTGAGTGGATGAAGAAAATGTATATATACACAATGGGATACTAGTCGTCCTTAAAAAAAAAAAAAAAGAAATCTTATTATTTACGACAACAAGGATAAACTTAGGGCAACTTTTGTTAAATGAAATAGTCCAGCACAGAAAGACAAATATCATATAATCTCCCCTATATGTGGAATCTAAAAAAGTTGAGGCTGGGCATGGTGGCTCATGCCTGTAATGGCTCATGCACTTTGGGAGGCTGAAGCAGGAGGATTACTTGAACCCAGGAGTTTGAGACCAGCCTGGGCAACATAGCCAGAGCTCATCTCTATTTTTACAAAAAATTAAAATTGAAAAATTGAACTCATAGAAGGAGAGACTAGAATGGTAGCTATCAGGGTCTGGGATAGGGGGCAGGCAGTTGGGGAGATGTTGGTCAAATGAATACAAAATCTCAACTAGTAGGAGTCAGTTCAAGACTTCTGTTTACAACATGGTAACTATAGTTAATAATAATGCACTGAATTCTTGAAAATTTCTAAGTGAATAGAGATTTTAAGTGTTCTTATCACAAATAATAAGTGGGTCAATGCATATGTTAATGATCTCAATTTAGCCATTCCACAGTACATACAAACTTCAAAACACATGCTGTATGTGGTAGTTATGTACAATTTTTATTTGTTAATTTAAAAAATATAAGTGATTAGTTCTGGGTAGTAGGAAATGACATAATCTTAATCTTGTTCTCTATGCTTTTTAGTATGTTCCTCTTTTTTTTTTTTTTTTACAACAAATGTATCTTGTTCCTGTATGAGAAAATGTGTGTGTGTATGTGTGTGTGTGTGTGTGTGTGTGTGTGTGTATTTTTTAAAAAGCAAAACTGTGGTAGGAGACATGCTTAACTGGCTCCTTGGTTTTACCCGTACATGCATATATCCATGTGCACTATTGCCTACTTTTTATCCTTGGGTACACCAGGCGTACTGAGTAAACCTTGATCTGATTCTGCTCAGTTGAGTTGTCAAAAGTTGGCCAGCTTGTGTTTCCCCTGGGATTTGGAAAAAACTGTAAATCTGATGTCCTGCCTTAGCTTTTGCTTTCACTTTGCCACTGTGTGACCTTGGTCTGGTTTCTGCCCCTCTCTGAGTCTTGGCTTCCAACTGGAAAGTGAGACAGCTGAGCCCCAGAGACTCAGATGCCTTCTGGGTGAAAATTGCTTTATCTCTTGGAGCCAGAACTCATCAGCCACAAGAGCCTTCACACAAAGTTAAAACAGGAACCCCCCAAATATCAATGATTGTTAGTGTCCCCTTCATGAACCGTGTCATGGACCAAAGCTGATTAAAGGCTCTGCTCAGAGATGTTTGTTCTGGGAGCCAGAGTGGGTGATACTGAAACTCCTGCTCTAACCCAGGAGGGCTGGGTTGGCATGGTGAGCAGAAGGTCCACGTGTTCTTTTAGCGAATGCCTACATACCTGACACATGCCCTTGCACTAGACACTGGGAGCAGCACAGAGATGAAACAAACAGGAACCCACCTTTGGGAGTCATTAGGGAAGAAGGTAAAGGGCTGAGTGATGACACCCGCAAGAAAGTTTATAGTGCCACAGGAGAGGCACAGAGAATGTGCTGGGGAAACTCAACGAAACCAGGCCCTGAAGAAATGAAGTGCGTGGCTGGGGGGTGATATTGCACAGGGAGGAAATGAAATAGTCCAAGCCCTAGGAATGGTGAATGGAGAAAGTAGCTGAAGTGTTTCAGGGAGAAGTGAGTGGAGGGAGGAAAGATTAAGATGGGCTGTGAAGTCTGACCAAGGAGCCTAACATTCACTCATTCATTCATTAGATCAGCAAACATTTCCTATGCTCCAGACATGTAGAGGAAGGGAACCTAAGGCATTAACCTGGGCTGGCATTTTGTGATGGGTATCACTGCCCACAAAGGAAACCAGCCAAGGGAGAAATGACTCAGAAGCTCCTGAAAGGTGTGAGTCTCTAAGCATCAGTTATCACTTTGGAAGGGAACTGGGAGCAACGGGGAGTTGTTTCCCAAAGGCATTGGTACAACATGCTAACTTAGCTTAGAAAACCAATATGGTGTCTCAGAAAGAGGATCAGAACCAAAAGGTGAGAGGAAGAAGTGAGAGAAGCCCTAGCACCAGATGAGCACTGGCAGCGGGCTGCTGTAGGTGCTTGTAGAGTGCCGTCATCCTCACGATAGCCCTCTGAGATGGTACAGCCAAGGCTCAGAGAAACCGAGTCACTTACACTCTTGAGGCTGCACAGGGAGTAAATGGATGAGCTAGTGTTTGCATCAAAGGCTGAGAAGGCTTTTCTGTGTCATGTGACCTCATAATCACCTGAGTTTGAACCCATGGAATCTAGGGCATTCAGCTCAGGTTGAGTGAACCTCAACAAAATCCTAGGAGAGCTGTAGGAGATAGAGGAAAAGGTAGCCTAGGTAGATGTGAGAGGAGAACTGGGCTACTGAACAGGAGCTGTGAGTGAGGACTGACCGCAAGGATGGAGACTCGTCATGCTGGGCAGAGAGGAATGCATTCACACACTGTGATACAACCAGGCAGCCATTCCAGAGTACATATCACATCACAAGCTAACATTTTCTTGGTGGGCTCTGCATTGAGGGCTTTGTGAATATGCAAGTAAACCACATACATATCTTTTGCGAGGGTTAAATGAATTATGTTATTTTAGCACATTTACCACATGGAATACATTATTGTGATACATTTGGTGGCACAAATTAAGGACTCAAGAAATGTTAGCTATTTTATTGTACACAAAAATAGCCTGTGAGATTGATGCCATTATTATCTCTGTTTTATCACTGAGGAAACAGATGTTTAGGGAGTTAGCAGCTCATCCCTAAGGATGGAAAGCCTAGAAATGGTAGAACCTGAATTTGGGGCTGGGATTGAAATCCACACCCAACCCCAGAGACTGCACTCAACTGCGAGATTCTACTGTCTGTCTGTAAAACTAGAGTGAGAATCACACACCTTGCTCCGTGGTGCCCCTGTCAGACAGCTCAGGGGCTGGAGGGGTGGGGGTTGGATGCAGGGAGCCCATCTGGTGTGCTCATGAAGGGGAAGCTAGGGTGGGGTGGGGAGGCAGAAAGTTTGTGTGAGACATACAACAGAGGATTGATATCCACAATATGGAAAGCACTCGTACAGGTAATAAAAGATAGAATACCAATCAAAAATGGGCAAAGAATATGAACAAGTTGCCAAGTCTTATAAAGCATTCATCCTTACTGGTTATCAAGGAGATAAAACATTTTTAAAATACCAATTTTTTTAACCCACCAGAAAGAAAAAAAATTTAAAAGATTGAGCTAGTGTTTGAATTGAAGGTAGAAAAAACTTTTCTGTGTCATGTTGCCTCCTGATTGCCTGAATTTGAACCCATGAAATCTGTGTGCAAAGGAATCTAGGACACTGGGCTAGAATCAGTGCCCTAATATTTAGGGCTGGCAAGTGTGCATGTGAAACACTCTTGTATATTGCTGCTAGAGCATGAATTGGCACACCCTTTTTGGAGAGTGATTAGACAACATCAAAATGTAATATGCACATACCCCAGGTTCTCATTCTGGGAATCTGTCCTACAGAAATACTTGCATATATGCTCAAACACACAATTGTACAAAGATGATTGCTAATGCACTGTTGCCATCTAAATGTCCATCAATAAGAGACTCCTTACCTAAATTCTGATCCATTCATACTCTGAAACACTACGTAAAGTAATAAAGTGAAAATATACACATAGTAATTTAAGTTTAAAAAAAGAAAATCACTGAACATTTTACATAATATGATCCTAATTATATAAAAACAAGCAACCTCATGTGTGTAACTATATGCATAATATTGTATACATATACTTGTCCTGTAAATACACAGAAAGCTATGGGTGGCTATACATGCACAATGATTAATAAAAAAGATGAGGAAAGATAGATTAGAGGCGAAGAGCTACCATTTTATCTTATATATGTTTGTTTTAAATTTTGTTTTTACAAGACTAAGTTGTTCTTGTAAGTAAAAATATTAAAGAGCCGGGTGCGGTGGTTCACGCCTGTAATCCCAGCACTTTGGTAGGCAGAGGCAAGAGGATTGCCTAAGCCCAGGGGTTTAAGACCAGTCTGGGCAATGTGGCAAAACCTCATCTCTACAATAAATCCCCAAATTTTCTGGGCTTGGTGGCATGCACCTGTGGTTCCAGTCACTTGAAAAGCTGAGGTGGAAGGATCACCTGAGCCCAGCAGGTCAAGGCTGCAGTAGTCATGAGCATGCCACTGCACTCCAGCCTGAGTGACAGAGTGAGACTCTGACTTGAAAAAAGAAAAAAAAATCAAATAAAGACTTAACATTTCTTTTTTGAAAAAAACGCACGTGGAGGAATGGCAGCCCAAAATCATTTGAGTGACTTCTGATAGGACAAATCACTTTTGTGTCTGGGCAGGAGAAGGAGGCTGCCTTACCATGGAGTGAGCATGAGTTTTGGAGTTAGATTTCTTATCTCAGCCCCACACATTTGTGACCTTGGGTATTACTCAACCTTGGGCGTCTGCTCCCTCCTGGGTGAAATGGACATCACTCATAGCTGTGGCTTCCTCCGCAGGGGGCATGTGTCATGTTCTTATGGCCCAACAGATCCCCCAGTTGGGAAAGATCCAGATATGGGAGGGGGGATGGGGGGAGGAGTTTAGGGGCCAGAGACCTGATTGTCATGCTTGCCACTTTCATATATATATATATGTATGTATGTATATATATATATATATATATATATATATATATATGTATGTATGTATGTATATATATATATTTTTTTTTTTATGAGAAAGCAGGTTTATTGAGAGGACAGAAAAGCACCCAGACTGAGAGGGGACCCAAGGGGGTTGCCCCTTGCCACTTTCTATGGTGTAAACACTCCCCCCATGACTGATTTCAAGGCTACCAGTATGGCTGCTCCAGCACATTACTGCAAGGGCTTCAAAGGGCATTTAATCCAATCTCCTGCCCAATGTTTGAGCTATCTCTACCACATTCATGGAAAGATAGAGCCAGATCTGCTCTGTGGAACTTCTGCCCCCTACTGGGGTGAATTTCTCTTGGGGGCTGCACAACAAATGCTAAATTCCTCTGCAGCATGCCAACCCTTCTGAAGTGGGACTTTACTCAAGTCTTTTCTTCTTCAGATCTTTGTGACTTACCTCAGCCTTAACCTTGAGCTCCCCCACCCCAGGTCCGCCCTGGACCCCTTCCCCTGTATGTGCCCTCAGACCATGCTGCCACGGCAGGTTCCCCTGCCCCACTCCCAGTAGGGCAGGAATTTGCTGAGGCTGCTATTTTAAAATAGCCTGGTCCTCGGCTCCAGGTTCACTAGCAGCAACAAGAGTGACCAGGACCAGGTCAGTGGCAAAGGAGACAGTGTGGGGGTAGACACAGGCTGGCTCACCTAGGAGGCACATGCAGATCTCAGACAGTGGCTGCGTTCCCTTCCCCATGTCCTTTCTGCTGCGCTTTGGCAATGGTTGTCCTTTTAAGCCTCCTCCTGCCCACTCAGCTTACTCAGAGGCTTCAAATCGGGGCATCTTCCTAGAGGCCAGGCTGAGTCACCCTGGACTGTTAAATAACAGTGAAAAGTAGGATTGGAATGCAGGACCCTGCCTTCCTGTGCCATACAGAGCAGAACCCGCGGTGACTCATACCCCGTTGGATACCAACTCTTCTGCCCGTCTTGCCTGCTAGACTTCTAAGTCTGGAGCCCTGGCCCTGCCCCTTTACCAAAGCTACAGTATAGGGCCTGGGGCCAGACCTCCAAGAACTCTTGGATCTGTTCTGTTCTCACCTCCTCACTTTTCTTCTCTCTCAACCCCACTGGCCCCAACCAGGACCTGGACACAATCTCCTGCCTAGTTTGTGTTGGCTGAAGTGTCATACAAGCTGCCCAGAGGCCAGTGGGCAGGGGCAGATGAGGGTTCTGAAGCAGACAGTCTCCCACCCCCATGACACTCTTACCTGGCTTTCTGCCCACTTTTCAGCACCTGCCCTCCCTGTCCCATACCTCAGAAAATGACAACCATATCTGCCCTAAAAAATAATGGGACTTGCAATCTCGGGAGTAACGTTTGCCTGTGAAAAGAGGCTACCTAGGGAGCACGAGGCTTTGTGGCCTCCAGGAATCTCACGACTCTGGCTTACCCACATGCACCCTAGCAGGTCTTGACCTGCTCCCTCCAGGAAGAGCACCCACAGCCCTGGTTTCAGGCGGCTCAGCATTCTTGTTCTTTAAGTTCTTTGAGGGTAGTCCTGTCTCCCCAAGTAGACACATGCCTGAAGGGTGGGACTGTGCCTCACTCCGCTCTGTATCCCCCATAGTGCCTGACTGATGCTAGGGTGATTATAGAGGCTTCCATAAATAGCAATCCACCCATCCAACCATCGACCCATCCACCCATCCATCCACCCACCCACCTAGCACACACCTACTAAGCACCAGCACTGTGTAGGTTTAAGGCTGCAAATCAGTTACTGCTTCTGTGGGATCTTTGTGGTGGGAGATTGATCTAGCTGAGACTGGAATCCAGACCTGTCCAACTCTGTTCATGGGCTCCCCTAGCATTGCAGCACTGTGCCAGGAGAAATATTTATGATTTAGAACAAGAGGGATAATTTCCCACTCTGGCAGCTAAGGTGAAGAGATCCTTTGGCCGACACAGTTCCATCCCAGAAGCTATCCAGCAGGACTCAGCCCTTCTGCAGGGCTCCAGTTCCCAGCAGGCCCTGCAAGTTTGAGTCAGCAGCGCCACCCTCTTCTGACAGCCCGCAGCTGCATCCTGCCGGGACTGAAGGCCTTTGTATGTCCCTGAACGGGGCCTCAGCTCCTCACACAGGCAGGGAAGTCCTTTCTTGTTGCCACGTCCTGGGAGTTTCTCCAGGGTGAAGGTCTCTGGGCTGGATCTAAACCCTGCAGCCGCTGGATTCTAACCTCATCCTTGCATCCCCTGCCTCCACTCCTCCACCCAAACACCCGGGGCTGCTGGGCAGACAGAAGGACTGAGAAAAACTTCCAGGACACTTACAGTTGTGGCTGCGCAGCACGTGGACTCCGAGGGCAGATGGGAATCCTCTCTGAGTCTGGAGGGCTCTTCTTGAGCAACAGTCTCACTGGGCCAGAGAAAAAAGGCTTAGGGAACAAAATAAAGTTTGTGAAAGCCAGGCCACTTCTCTCTGAGTTTTTCTCCTCTCCCTCTCGTGCACAGACTTGGGAAAGTTGCAAAAGAGGCTGGGCCGGGTGACCTCAGCTGTGTGGGTGGAGGGGGTGGAGTGGAATGGGAAGGTTAGGCTGCACAGTCGACTGGATTTGGGGCTCCCTGATAATTTAATTTACAGGGACTGTGGTCCATGGGGATGAGCATGGGGGCTTACAGGTCAGGGGGCCTGCAGGGTAACATGCCACATTTGTGGGCACCATAAAAAGCCCTGACTGGTTTTAGAAACTTCTGCTGCTGGAAACCACCCAGTAAAGAGGCCCTTTTTGTTTGTTGAAGTTTTCAACACACATATGTAGTCGATTCAGTCCTGCCACCAGCCTGGATGGAAGAGGTTCTGGTTCTCAGGTCTTGCCCTCACCCCAGTACTGTGTACACATACACACACAACATACACATCACATATGCATGATATGCATACCCTACACAACACACATGCCACACATAACACACCACACATACACACCATACACATACCTCATACACACCTCACACACCACACATAACACATCATATACAGCACACACCAGTTATACCACACAGACTCCATACATACACATCTACACACCACACATAACACACACACACACCACACATGTCACACTTAACACACCACATACCACACACATACCACAAACACCCCACAATACACAATATACGTACCACACACACATACCCCACAGACAACGCACATGCCACATATAACACACCACACACATATCACAAATACACCCCACACATACACAACATACATACCACCACACACACATATCCCCCACACAACACACATAACACATCATACACAATACACGCATCACGTATATACCCCACATATCCCACACATACATACCATACAGGATTTACACACCTCACATACACATATAAAACAGCACACCAGGCTTGTGAAGTATAAGGCAAGTCTTGACATCTCCCAGGGCCTCTCTGGTGAAGATGTGTGACACAACCTGAAATATCTAGGAGACTACAGCAATTTAAAATGCTGTTAGCATGAGACTAATTTTGGTATCTCTTTGAGCTGCCTGGAGTCAGGCCTTGAATAACTATGATTGGCAGATGAAAGGGAAGGAAGCTTAGACATGCCTGGGTCAAGTGGATCATCAGGTCTCTAGGGCCCCTCAGGGCATGTAATGCATTCGTTGCACCCCTCCATCCCCCTTTCCTTCAGAGGGGGGATTTTGCCTCCTTAGGATCCCATTCTTGGTTGAATAATCCTCGTGCCCAAAAGTTCTTCCTTGTGTCCAACAGAAGTCTCTGATGCTGCTTCATTGCTATAGTATATTATGTCTAATCTGGCCAATTAGACTAGCCATTCTTCAAGGGTAGAGTGGGGGGTAGCCCTGAACCCATACCTGGCTGCTCATAGTGCCAGGACAGGCCTTGCTGAGGAGTTTTTGGTGGAACAGAAGTTGAAGCTCATTTCTTTGTTTTAATTAGCAGACATGCCTGGAGGGAGGACCCAGAGATCTCCATGAAGCATGACACTGGACAGCACACACAGAAGGTGGAAAAATTCTAGACCATGCTCACCCCCAAATGTTCTATTTTGGGGACTGGGAAAGTGGGCATCAATCCATCCTCAGGACAACCACTGATTTATGATGACTGACTTGTTCTTGAACTGTTGCCCTTTAGAATTTTTTCCTCCATATTCTACTTTTTTATGAGACTAGATTTTTGTTTGTTTGTTTCTATCACCCTGGAGTGCAGTGGCATGATCATGACTCACCATGGCCTCCTGACTCCTTCCACCTCGGGTCATCCTTCCACCTCAGCCTCTGGAGTAGCTGGAATGACAGGCACACACCACCATACTTGGCTAACTCCTGGGCTGAAGCAGTCCTCCTGCCTCAACCTCTCAAAGTGCTGGGATTACAGATGTGAGCCACTTGGAGTGGCTGAGACAGAGGGAGGGAGGGTTGGAGGAAGGGAGAGAGAGGGAGCTAGGGGAGTGCACCTGTAGAGGGAGAGAGAGGCATATTTGAGCCTCTCTCTCTCCTAGGGCCTGCTGATGCTGCTGAGGGTGCTTTGGGGAATGGGAAGTGAACTGTGCTTGGCTGGTCCTTACAGCATCTGAACACAGGACTGAAACTGGTATTTTCAGGAGAATGCAGAACTATCCCCAACACCTTTGGAAGCCAGGTCACCAGCCACCCTCAGACTCTAGTCTCCACTTCCTCCAACCACGTGGATCAAAAGTCAGCAACTTCCCTTCTCTGCTCCAGTGGAGAATGCTCCAGTGGAGAATGACACATGCTCCAGTGGAGAATGACACCAGCTCCCACCCTGCGGAGGAGGCCCTGATGCCACGTTCTCTGAATTTTCTTTTTTCTATTCCTCCTACAGGTATTCATTCAATAATCTGTGTAGGTCATACCCATGGGAGACACATAAATGGAGGCTTGCATTTTATCAGAAAGAATAAGACATAGTCATTCTCAGAATGGTCTAAGAAACACAGCTAAAGGGTTGTGGGGATTTAGAAGAGAAAGAGATGAATTCTAGTTAGGGACATCCAAGAGGGCTTCATGGATGGAAGGCATTTGAATTGGAGCTTGAAGGATGCAGAGGACAAGGACATGTGCGGATGTGTGGTAAGTGGGGACAAGAGCCAGGTCCAATAGAGAGAAGAGTGATGGGGGAGGGACAAGAGAGCTGGACCTCTGGTTGGCAGAAGACAGAGTGCATAGGAAAGGCTCCATGTCACATCTGAGCATCTTGGCAAGTGTGTCCCACAGGCTGGGGTTTTAGTCTAGTTTCTCACAGCACTGTGACTAACATCTCTTCGTTGCAACCTTAACTCTCATTGAAAGGAACCACTTTGGGGAATGGCACGCTCCTCTGGTGAACAGAGGAGAAGGAATCCTGGAAGCTAAGTGTGCAAGTGAGAAAATGAGGATGGCCCAGGGGAGTGCAACTAAATGTTCAGGGAAGCAAGGCCCTGGAGATCCCTGAAGTCCTGTCGGCTTGGATTGCATTTGGTGTGCAGCAGTGGGGGGGAAGTGGGGCGGGAGCCGTGGGGAGGCATTGGGAAGTATGGAGCAGGGGAAGGGTGTGATGAGAGCCAGGCTTCAGAAACATTAGTCAGGCACTGGTGTGTCGGAGGGGAGAGATGAAATCAGAGCATCTGGATGTTTTCGGAATATTTCTGGTGAAAAGTAATGTCTCGGGGGTCGGGGATAAGGAAACAGGGCATAGAAGCATTTCTGTGGCAGAACCGGTAGGGCTGCTGTGAAGATTGTGTCACGACTTGTTCAAGCACTTGGCAGATGCTGTGGTGTGGCTTAAGCATCCCTGTCATGCTGCAGGCCTCCAGCACCTGGGCATGCAGAATCCTGGGCATGCAATGCCAGACCAGCATACCAACACACTAGGGCCAACTGCTTCACAGAAATGACCCTTCAGGGGAAAGGGATGTTGACTAACAGTGGATTCCTGCTGCTCCTGAACCGTTTCAGAGGAAAAGTCATAAAGCCTTTTTGCTCTGGGGCTTCCTGCCTCTCATGAGATTTGCCTATGCTGAGTAAAGGTCTGCTCCCTGATAAGCACAAACCTATAAGCTGGTTAAATGTTTACACTTGTGCTATATATCATTGAATCCTCATAATAACCCCATGCAGTACAGCTGTCCTTTGGTATACATGGGAGATTGGTTCCAGGACCCCCACACATACAAAAATCTGAGTATGCTCAAGTCCTGTAGTCGGTCCTGCAGAACCTGCGTATAGGAAAAGTCTGCCCTCCATATACTTGTGTTTTGTATCTCTCGAATACTGTAGCTTTGACCTGCCTTTGGTTGAAGAAAAATCTGTGTATAAGTGAAAAGCAGTTCAAATGTGTGCTGTTCAAGGGTCAACTGTAGTTGCTATTACCATGCCCATCTGGCAGATGACAAAACTGAGGTGCAGAGGTACTACAGCTGGTACTAGGAATCAAGTCCAGGTCTGTCCAACTCCAGAGCCCTTGTTAACTGCTCTACTACACTGCTTTGGTAGCTTGTTCAGATCAGGCTGTTCTGAATTAACTCTGAAAATAATGTTTGGTTTTTAAAAAAAGAAAAAAAAATGTAAAAATAGAACAAAATATATGTGTGTTCATGTAGAGTTGTGACCTACTCCGAGGGGCGAGGGAAGCTAACATTTGAGTCAAGTGCTTCCGGCCAGGTAAGCTCACTGATTCTTCCCCACAGCTCTGTGAGGTGTCTCAGGGACACGACATCATTGCCCAAGGTCACCCACTTGATGTGGGACAGGCACAGAAGTAAATCCAGTCTCTCTGACTTTCAGCCTGGTGTGTTCTCCACAACCTCTGCGGCCAAAAAGTACCGTCTGGGCCTGTCCCAGTTGTCTTGCAGGTCTTAGAGTGTGCCTCACTTAGTACCTGACACCACATAAATGTGGATTGGATTGGACTGAACTAGACCCAAGTGAACCTAATGTTCCTTAAGAAAGAATTTGATAAATAAATGGACACTGTGTAGGTGTTAGAAGAATGAGCTATCTGCATTGACAGGAAATTTGCTGTTAAACGGAGAAAGCAGTGTTGAGAAGAGTAGGCAGAGTATGATTCTTTTTGTGTAGAAGGAATAAGATTTCCTCACTAATAGCTGTGTCTGTCAATATGTACAAATAAAAAAGTCTGTATGAAATAGCTTCAAATTGGTAATAGTGCTTTTCTGAAAGGGAGGATCATGGAGCATTTTCACATATTTTGTAATAAGAACTGAAGATACTTTTGTTGAAAGAAGTAAAAACTGAAAGGAAGGAAGAGAAAAATAAGTTGCTTCTGGTGGCAGTAGAGATACCAGCAGGAGGGGCATACGCCTCAGACCAGCATTCTCCATGTCAGACCCCTGAGAATGGGCCCTGTCATCCCGAAGGTGGAAGGGTACCCGCTTCAATCTCTCTCTCTCTCTCTGGCTCTCACTCTCACTCTCGTTCTTTCTTGCTCTCTCTTTCTCCATCCCCTGGATATTTTCATTTACAACAAACATATGTCCACACCACAAGGAATCAGGGCTGCTTGGGACAATGGTGGATGCCACATATGGGACTGGAAATGTGCACTATAGGCTACAAAAATCCACAGGAATTAACCTGAGGGACCTACTGGCTAAATGCTAAAGGTGGAGCATGTAAAAACCTGTAGTGACAGGCACAGTGGTTCATGCCTGTAATCCCAGCGCTTTGGAAGGCCGAGGCAGGAGGATCACTTGAGCTCAGGAGTTTGAGACCAGCCTGGGCAACATAACGAGACCCCATCTCTAAAATTAAAAAAAAAAATGTCCCAAAGGACTTGGGGATTTCCTACTTGGTGTTTGTTTGTTTTTTGTTTTTTTACTGCAATAAGTTGAAAACACATCAAATATGTTTGAAATCCACTGGCATTTACTATAACACAAACTCATTCTGAAAGTTTGGTAAGTTAAGGGGAGAAAAAAAACACCCAAGTGGTTATCTTCTTTCCTGAACAAATGGTTGATGAGCGCAGGTCATTTTTTTATAGACGAAGTTCAACTAACAAGCAGAAGAACTAACAGAATTAGAAAACCCCTGTTCTGCAACCCCTAGTAGAGTGTGGTATTTAGAAAGGGTCATCAATGGCAGCTGAGGCCATCAGATAAAATGCTGAAGAGATCTTTGAAATGGATGGTTGGGGCTGACAGCTTCAAGCCCACTCATCAGACATAACATTAGCAATAGAGAGGCGCCTCCTCCCGGGAACACAACAGGAAGCACCCAGCACCATCTGTGAAACAATTTTTTGCCACAAAATTAGACCTCTAGATCTACCATTTTATAGGAAAGAGGACCCAGAGTACCATTGTTAAATGACGATTTTCAACATTCTTCAGCCAGCAAAATTCCGAATTTAGTAAACTCTAAAGATAAAAAGAGACTTAAGAGACATTTCAAATAAATGCAATTTTGGCACTTGTTTGAATCCTGATACAAACAAGCCAACTGTAAAAACAGCCACACACATCTGTAAGACGACAGGAGACGTTTGGATTCAGACCGCATATTTTAAGGGTGTTAGAAATGCTTATGGACAAAATGATATGGTGCCTGGAATTTGCTTCAGAATTATCCCACTACAGTATGTGGAACTGGAGAGAGAAGTGGGTGGTGGTGTAGACAAAATGGTCCTAGCTGTGTGTGGATGGGTTGTCAAAGCTCGGTGGGGGTGCATAGGGATTGATCGTATATAACCTCTACTTGTACAGATGTTTGGAAATTTCCATGACATAAAGTTAACAGAAAGTAATAAAAATAAGGACATACAACTTAATTCTTCCATCATGATGGTGGTAGAGGTGGTGTGTATGTGTGAGGCTGTAAGTGTGTTTGTTCTCACACTCTGTTTGGTACTAACTCAAGTTACAACTCTGAGAATGACTGTACTCTGTGGAAAATAACTTTTTGACAGGTGTAAAGAATGCCCCCACCTAACAGCCCCAAGGTATGTCAGGCAGGCAGGCACAGACACAGGCCCCTACTTAGGGGACTGCTGGGGCCAGCCCCACACGGTTATTCCCACGGTCAAAGACCGAGTAAAACTGTCGAATGAAGACATCCCCCAGGATCCAGAGGGGTCCATCTGGAGGCGGGATGTCAAGTCCTTGAAAGCCACTGCCGCAGAAATCCATTCCATCCACAATATCCTGGGGTTGGAAAAAGTATGTAAATGACATGCAAGGGAAGAAGAAAGTAGTGCTGCCTAGAGGCTGTCCTGTGTGATAGTGGTGGACAGCATGGAATGGCCTTGGACAGATGGTGAGTGCCACCATTTTGGTTGGTGAGTTATTCTCCCACTTCCTACTCCCCTAACCTTAATTTAAGTTACCTCCCCTAACCTTAATTAAAGTTACCTCCCCTAACCTTAATTTTTAGTTTGGCAAAGGCTTATGCTCTATCAGGCAGGTGTGTTCTAACTATTTGAAATGTGAAGTTGCTGATGAGCACGCAGGAAGATTCACAGAGGGCTCAGGGAGATTTCTGGAGAGGATGTGGATAGAAAGTCTAAGTATTAGAGCGTCCCTGATAGATTGAGGGGGCTCTGATTGATATCTGTTGGCAGGAAAGGACCACATCACTGTATTAGGCACGGGGAAGGGCAGGGACATGAGAGGGACCCACATGGGGACAGGTGGGAGACCGTGGGGGTGCTGGGGTGATCATGGGCATGTGGACTGATGAACAGGGCTCAGTCAAAACATCTAACTGGTCCTCAGCGTGGTATTTGCAGTGGCAGTTCCAGGATTCCTACATGGCAGGAGGTTAAGGGGCTGACCATGAAGATATTTAAAAGCAAACATTTGTCTGCATTTGCTTTAAAGCAAACATTGGATTGTCTGTTGGTGTTTGGTGGCTTTGGGAAGGAGTTGATGAGTCATGGGGGTGAGACTAAAGCCCTCAGTCTACACCTTAGCACCTCTGTTCTAGTATTGTCACCCTAATGCTGTGAGTGACTTTTGGTAACATTAGTGTGTTAAAGTGTGTTGCCAAAGAACTGCAATATTGAAAATCCAGGTCAATTGTGGCATGAAGGTATCCAAATGTCTGGGAGTTCCCTTTCTACTTCACCTTGAGGATTTACTGCAACAAATGGCATTTTCTTGCTTGAAGAATGTTAATTTAAATTTTAGAAGAAATATAACCTTATTCTGTATGCCCACCCCACAATTCATATCTTTTTTTTTCTTTTCAGAGACAGTGTCTTGCTCTGTGGTCCAGGCTGAAGTGCAGTGGTGTGATCATAGCTCATGGCAGGTTCAACCTCCTGGGTTCAAGAGATCCTTTCACCTCAGTCTCCTGAATAACTGGTACTACAGGTGTGTGCCCACCATGCCCAACTAATTTTTAAGTTTTCTGTAGAGCTAGAGACTTCCTATGTTTCCCTTGCTTGTCTTGAACTCCTGGGCTCAAGCAATCCTTCCGTCTCAGTCTCCCTAGTAGCTGGGATTTCAGGTATGGACCACCATGCCCAGCCAGGTCATATGTTTCTTAATTTTTTCAGATCATATCTTGAACTATTGATTTAACTCTCCAAGTTTCAATATCCTCATCTACAAAATGGGATAATAATAGCTTCAGTCTGACTGGGTGGTGAAGAGACTAAATTTTGTCAGTTGGAAAGTCCTACACAGCTATATCAGAGAGTTCCTTAAATGGTTTGCTGAAAGTTCGCTGCTGCTTCATGGCAGAACTGGAAATTGGAAGTAGCCCGGTGGTCTTTCCACCACGAGGAACCATGTTCCTCCCAGAGAGGGAATGCCACGTCAGAGCGGGACGAGGTGGGAGGGGATTTGGGGTAAAAGCAGGCTAAGTGCAGGCGACTGTTTGAAAAGGGGAAATGACAGCCATGTGGAGAGGCCCTGAGACTTGTAGAATAAGGAAACAGATCTTACCGGGAGGGTATAGGCAGTTGGACTGAGGCTGTAGGGGACTCCACTGATAGTGAAGGTGACATCTGGCATGATGTTGAGGTTGGCACACTCCACAGCATACTAAAACACAAGGCAGGGGACCCACTTAGAGGCTTCCGTCTACTAGGAGAAGGCCTGGCTCTCCTGCCCCACCTCCGCCCCGCCCTAGGCAGCACTCACTTCTCCATCCACAGGTACTGCCCCGATGGCCTTTTGCAGCTGCTTGATCTTGTCGGAAGGGCCAGTGATGAGGGAGGTTCCTGTGTCCACAATGGCCTGGCAGCCTTCGGAGCAGAACGCCACAGTACCACCCACTTGGATGCTGAGGATAAAGGGTCATTGTCCACCTGCACCCCTTGGTTCCCAGGCAACTCCCACTCCCCACACATCAATGATTTCCATGGTCTCTCGGTCTCTTCCAATACATGAGTGTTCCTCCATTCTATTATTTATTTATTATTTTTAGAGACAGGGTCTTGCTATATTGCCCAGGCTGGTCTCAAGTGATCCTCCCAACTTAGCCGCCAGAGTAACTGGGACTACAGGCTCGAGTACCACACCTGGATGTTCCTCAATTTAAAAAAGATTTTTTTGAGCTGGAATCTCACTCCATCGCCCAGGCTGGAGTACAGTGGCCACCCCAGTGTCAACCTGCTGGGCTCAGGCGATCCTTCCACCTCAGCCTTCCAAGTATCTGGAACTACAGGTGCGCGTTACCATGCCCAGCTAATTTTTTTATTTCATTGTAGAGATGAAGTCTCACCAAGTTGCCCAGGCTGGTCTTGAACCCCTGGGCCAATCCTCTCACCTCGGCCTCCCAAAGTGCTGGGATTACAGGCTTCAGCCACTGAGCTCAGCCCTAAATTTTTTTGTTGATACTGACAGTAAGAACATTTACTTCTTCTTCTTTTTTTTTTTTTTTTTTAAGTTGGAGTCTCACTCTGTCGCCCAGACTGGAGTGCAGTGGCCACTCCCGGCCAACCGCAGCCTCAACCTGCTGGGCTCCAGTGATCCTTCCGCCTCAGCCTTCTTCT